GCTCAAGAACAAGCCCTTTAGGCCTACGAGTAGAATGCGCCCTTCTGGAAACTCTCAACACCCATATCTCCTGCCTTGCTGTCAATCTTTGGTCCAGCCTTGTTTCCCATGCTTGACTCGGTCATGGTAGCAGTTCCACTTGTAGCACTGCTGCTGGTCATTGTCTGGGTCCTGCTTCCAGCAGGGCTTCCGACTTGGCTTCCACTGGTGATCTGAGCGGGTGTCTTCCGCTGAATAGTCTCTAGGTAGATGCCGGGAAGATAGCCCACGCGACCGTCCCTTGACCGGCATTTCCACCACTCTGATGCGTTGCCCATAGGATCACTCTTGCTGAGAACGGCAACCATGTCGCCCTTCTTAACTGAAAGATCCATACCCTGCATGTTGGCATTGGGAGTGAAGTCGTACAGTGCACGGCAGAATTCGAGCTTGTTGGGATCGAGCGGTTGTGCCGAGTGCGGGTTCTCTAGCATCTTTCGTTGCTCCTCGGCTTCTTGTGATCGGGCGAGGGCCTTGATGAGCTTGCCCATTAGGTATGGGAGACCGAATACGGCGAGCATGAACACGATGAAAGGCTTCTTTGATGGCTTTGCGGGTGCTGGTGAGCCGTCTGGCATGCGGCCGTTGAAGGCTGCGAAGCTCGCGGGAGTCAAGGCGGTTGCGTCGGCTGGCAAGGGTCGTCCGGTAAGTTTTGCGATGGCGGTTCTTATCCACCGCATGACGGTGTATATGCCCAAAACCGAACCGAGTGTTTGTCGCAGGTTTCCGAACTGCTCGGCAACGGATACCATGGCTGTTACATGTTAGAAACTGGCAGACGAGCGTGACCAAGTCAGGGACATACCAAAGAATGACGAGTGAGTCGCCATGTATGTGCTTTGGAGCATTTGCGCGAAGCCACCAAAGGCGCCGACAATGTTTTCGATGAGTTGGAATGTCGCTGCTGTGCTCTGGCTGAAGGACTGTGTGAGGCTGCTGTTTGGGTCACCAGGCATGCCGCCCATGCCTCCATACATGCCGCCATACATTCCTCCCATGCCGCCGTACATGCCTCCCATACCGCCCATGCCGCCGTACATGGAGCCGTACGCGCCGCCCATGGTGGAATATGGTGAGTTGTAGCTGCTCATGCCTCCGTAGCCTGTGCCGTAAGGTGAGGTATATCGGTTGTTCATGCCGGAATACGCGGTCGCGTTGCGGTTCGCGACGGTGCTAAGGGAGTCGGGTACCGACGGTAGTGGGGGAGCGGTTGAAGAAGTCGGGGATGTGGCGGTTGTGGATGCTGTGCTGGTGTTTGATCCCGTGAGACCTGTGCGATCGTTAGTCACTGTTGTCCCTATTACTCCGATCGACTGGCGAAACTGACCAACCGAGGCACTTGTCGCGCCGGCGCTCGTCTCCCATGGCTTTGGCGGCGATGGTGAAGACATTGTGTCCTGTGTGTCGTACGTGCCCTGTCTTCCCCCTTTACGCGCAGATGAGAATGGATTACAGCGAGATGGCGAGGGCGTGCGACGGTTGAGAGGCTGGTGAGTAGCGGCGATTCAACGGAAGCTGGAGCGACTTCTTGCGGGGAACCTGCCGAGGGCCGGGGCCTGTACACCTAGTGTAATCGCAAATAGCGGATCCGCGTCGACGGTCACTGCACGCGCTCGTTTGCAGTCCCGTGGATAGACGAACAAGAGCGCGAGTGGGTTGGATGACGGTGATGGAACGGGGGCGATGGGAACGCTGAGGGCGCATTGCCGTCGGCCGGGATACGGTTGGTCTTTGAGAGCCTGAATCGTGACAGACCTCGGTTTCTTGTGCCCGCTTAGGCAAGCCCAACCGTCAGCGAGCAATCACAAGCCGAAAACCCTACCCGCTTTGCCACTCCCTACCATAGTAATCACCAATCCCACAGCAGCACACATATGTCATCTGTCGTGCGTTTCCCTCTTCAGTAATCAACGTATGAAAATTCCTTCTGGGCCCTGCACATTACCACAGATAACATATCTACCCTGTCTGCATCGCTGCCGTGCATGCTTCCCGATGTACTTGTTCTTCGCCAGTGTATAGCATTCACATCGGACTGGAGCATATACAAGGACTGGCTGCATCCAGTCATTATGCGGGTGCATCCAACAGAAAACCTTATTCCGAGAAGATAGCGATAGCGAGTTAAAAAACACCGAACCTCTGGTCAACTGCTACAACCGGAAATAGAGGTCAAGCAAGCAAAAATCGCCAAAACAACCTATGCTTAGTATGAAATATTATCACTGTAGCAAGGTCTCGTTATATACATAAAACGTCGGCAGCAAAATGGTTAGAGTAGCAATACACCTAAGTACTAACTACGAAAGTTAGGAGCTAACTGTGACGCACGTGATATCGATAGTATCACGTGAACCCTGGATATCGAACTCATATCTACATCCACTTTTTGGCTGCCAATATACTAAATTTCAAAACCGTGTTCTACTACATACGGTCATTGGACATTAAGGATTAGTTCTCTTGCACGCTCTGCTATCTCTTATTACGCTGAAATGTTTCCTATTTCCAGAAACGAGAACCCGGTTCCGCGAATCAGGTGCTAGCGTCAGCTACCTACATAGTACCTCGTCCTTATAGTCCTTTTGACAACCATTTCGCACACAACTAAACACCAACCTATGACCATGTCTAGAGATAGTAATCATTTCTTACCAAGACTGCCCCTTAACTTCTTTTGTTGATTAACCTTAGGAATTTACACATGACCAAGCGGGTTACGTATATGTCACATACATTAGACAATCTACCTTGGACCTAGTCGGTTCCATACTACAAGTGCAGCAATATTGAAAATGACGAGTAGAAAGCTACTGACAACTGCCACCCATACCTGGTCAAAGACCATAATCCTCGCACTGGTGCTCTCTGCTTGAGTTGTCGTGCGAAGCTCGACCAAAGAGGTACTGAAAAAAGACTGTCGGAACCATGTGATTAGTAAAATATAGAAAATCTCAAAGGATTACATACTAGGACGAGGTTCGCGGGCAGATACACCATCGCTATCACAGTTGCAATCCGCATGACTCGCGAATCCTGCTGAGTCCTATTCGTCATATCTGTTATAGTTTTGCTTTCACTAGCACTAGTCTGTGCAAGCTGCGAAAGAACATGGCTGTTTTTTACTAGAAGCTCTTGATTTCTAAGAGCTAGAATGTCGCGATTCTGATAGTAGCGTTAGTACAGCCGGTCTTTGAATCGAGTGGCCGGAATTCCTTACTAAGGCTCCGATGCTTTCTACTACTTGCAGCAAGTGTCGTATCGTAGCTTTATGACCCTCCATGTCACTGCTGATCTGGCCAAGGTCATGCTTCATGTTGATCTGACTAAGGACATTCGAAAATGTCCTCGGGTCGGACAGGTGAATCAAAAGCTTCTGAGTAATGCGAGAGACGCCATCTACTACTTCAAGAGCTAGAAGAAGTTGTTTCTTCAACTGGTGCAGAGCTTGGCTCGTGGAAAAATCTGTGTCGAATTCAGCATAAGGTTTGGAAATGCTGAGTTTAGCGTCCTACACAGTATTTTTGGTCAGATTCAGGTAAGCGGTTGCGGTACAAAGGTCTTCAAACTTGCCATTGAACCAAGTTGAGAAGCTTTAAAGCTGAGATACTCCTTGAAGTAATACGTCGCCGATTTGATCAGCCGAACGTGAAGGGCTAAGGGATGAGACTTGTCCTGGGAATCTGTTTGCTGGAGGTCTTCATTGAACAGTTGAGGAGGCTGTATAATGATCCAGGTGGAGCGACCGCCTTGAAAATAAAACTTGTGATGGATTCCAGACTGGCGGCATGAATAAGGGTCCTTAAGTTGCCGCCCATGTGGCTCAAAATACCGGATATTGTAAGAAATGTCAAACCCTTCTTGTACATTAGCGCATTACCTAGAGCGTGCTTGATGGGGCAATACCATTTGCTACCACGTTTGGTTCAGGGCCCGCTGGTGTCATGAAGCTTCGATAAAACGTCGTGAAGGATTCATACCCGGACGATGTCCGTTGACCAAGGCCTAGTACAATTTTCAGGAACTGTGGTGGCGTGCCAACCGAGGCAATGATATAGTTGAACATTTCAGGGAGTATCTTCATTCTACTCCAAGAATTCTTCCGACGAATAACTCTTCATGGTAATCAGTCCTATCCATTATAGGGCAAGGCATTGCTATTCTTACATCATAGTAATGGTAGAAGAGTCATCCAAGCACTATCAACATTAATTTAGTTTCGTTACAATTCATAGCTACTTACTTTCCATTGGTTTTCCAAATCCTGCAGGTTACGAACGAGGGAGATAATTGGCTTTGTTGTGCCTCGGCTGTTGCCTTGTCATGCGTGAGTGCCGAGTGCCCATAGTAATGCCAATGTAACGTACGCCGTGATTCCAGCGAGCTGAAACCAAGGTTCCATACCTCAGCTGTACAGTCGGCTTCTTTATCAACGAATAAACTTGACGAGTGCCTCTGTATATCTCGACTACAGATCTGATAATCAACGTCGCACCCCATGGTTAGGCTGGAAGTGATGTCGCCTTGATGTCTGACAACACGGAAGTTGAGGTTACACACTGGTCATAGAGATGATCTGAGAGCATGATTTTATATGTACAAGTCCCTATAGGAGGCTGTGTAGACTGAAAACGCTCTACTCGTTCTATCTAGCATATTTTCGTTGCCTTTTCTTGAGGAACCTTAAGAGCGCGGGGCCTGTGGCAAGGTGGGTTAAGCAAGGCAGACTTGCATTGAAAACAATTGGCTCACAGCCCACCATAAAAGAGGCTGTTGCAGGACACATGAAGAGGACGCCCGACCAGTTCGGCTGTCCAATGGCTGACCGACACGCAACTCGCTTGAGCAATGTCGCATTTACTTGGGATTTCCGGTGAGAAAGCCTCTTCATTTAGTGCGTCTTTTGTCTCGCACCCACTATTTCTTTTATCTTTGGCGCTTTGGACGCGTATCGTAACATAATGGCAGTCACCACTACACTAGAAGAGACGTATGTCTTGTTGGACAAACTCGACCTTCTGCTTCAAAGACTGTTTCCAGGTCGGTATTCGGTCAAGGTAATCCTCTCCATATCACCATATCAACATCGCATGGCTGACCAAGTAAGATTTCCGGTGGTTACGTCGAGATAACGGCCCCACGAGCGCTATACGAGGTCAGTAGAACGTTCTCACTTTCTCTTAGCGCTCTTCTGATCTTCAAATCGCCAGGACGAGAAAGATTCTGTTCAGGACAGAGAATAAAGCATTGAAAATCGTCTGCAAACGCAATCCTAGGCCACTTATTGTACTCCTATCGCGTCGCATATGATGACGCCGTCCCCTAAATTGAGAAACTCAGCTAGTATCCACTTCTGGAGATATAATCTCACTTTTTAAGATGTATCTTGAGACATTGTATCAGGAGATTGAAAGGAACCGGTCCAGATCACTTTCTGGGACCTACTTTATCTGCGCAGAGAAGATACGAAGCATCTTTAATCTCGAAAGGGTTGAACTCGCGATCCAAGAAATTGATTGTGATCCCCACGAACGAATTGGTCTTGCAAACAAAGTTCACCAAGAAGGCATCGTCGTCTTTGCTATTCTTGTTTGGATGAGACGACCGGATAGTATTGTCAAGTTTCGCGAGCACGATTGCCTAGACACACAGCTTCCTATATCCAAGACTAGAGCCCAGCAGATCGTGCCTAGATTTGGGCTTTCTTTTGCTCGCGAGGTCCAATGGCAGTTTCTTCCATATGTTTTCAAAAAGGATATGTGCGATTATCATCGCTACATCCATGAAGCCAATGCCATCTTTCCATTCGTTGATGAAGCAGAGAAAATTGCACAGGGTGGATTCGGAGAAGTTACGAGGGTACAAATTCCAACAAACCTCCAAGAGTTGCTCCACAGCAAGGTGAGTGCGTATTTTTGCTGTAATGTCACATGCACTGACAATGAAGCATAGGGAGATACTGTATCCGTGATTAGGAAACGAATTATGCATCGAAGGAAACAAACACAGGAACAGTACGATCAGAGTTTCCAGAAAGAGATGAGATCCCTTCGATTACTCCATCAGTTGAAACATCCCAACATCATTCCTTTGTTAGGCTCCTACACGCACAATCAAGAGCACAACTTTCTGTTTCCGCCTTTCGCGATGGACCTGGCCAAGTTCCTAGATCTAGAGTCCCGGTTCAAGGACTTCCAATGGGACTTCATGTTCCCGATCGCGCTTCGGGGTCTTGCCTCAGCCCTGGAGCAACTTCACAATATAAGTCTAGATGTCGCTCGTAACGGGGTACATTTCACCGGTCTAGGGTACCACCATGACTTCCGGCCTTCGAATATCCTAATCACCAACGACTCCTTCATTCTCGCTGACTTTGGCCTTGGGGAAATCAAACCAGAACTTGAAAACTCTCAGACGCCCTGGAAGATGGGGACTGGAGATTACCTCGCCCCCGAGACCATGGATGCTTCAACCTTTGCCCATCAATCTGTAGGCCGCTCTATCGATGTCTGGGCATTCGGCTGTCTCATTGCAGAAGTGGTTAGCTACATGGAACGGGGTCATCAAGGAGTACGGCATTTTCGTACTTTACGGGAAAGCGAGTTCCGCCCGCGATATACAACCACGTATTTCTTTACGTCGGATGGCGGGTTGAAAGAATCTGTCCAACGATGGCTCGAGGAGATGGGGGCTACTTCGTCCATGATAACCAAGAAGATGTTACAAGTTGCATTCCGAGCTCTACAGCCAGTGGCAGGACCTAGATGTTCCATCAAAGACGTCCGCAGCGAATTCGATATCATCAGCCTCCAAGCGCTTGCTTCCGCACTCTGTTCAGAGATGGAAGCATACTTGACCGCTGCAGAGCACGACCTGGATCAAGCGGGGCTCCATATGGCGATGCGATTTGAAAAGGAAAGGTTGCATGTGATTGCTCGGTTCTTATCCTCCGAAAAAGATGCGAACTCATCAATTTTCTCTCAAGAGGAAACTTACCGTTCCTTTCGCGATGAACTAAGAGCTCTGTTTGAGACGATTCACAATGAGCTGGGCCATCAAAAGGACATTGGTCAGCAAGTTAATGCAAGTGAAACACGAGTCGACCTGGGTGGATCTGTACCAGAAAGGGTCCAACAAATAGTCCAGAAACTTTGGACGTTTCTTCCAAAGAGGGAAACTAAAAGGATACAAGAGCTTTGGCTCTCTTCTATGCAAGAGGATGACATTGGACGGTTGAATGATATCGACATGTTGATGCGTGAACATCGACGCGAGGACTTTACTGATGTCGGTCTAATGGCCGGGATCCGTGCAACCCGATTGCAACTGCTCAAAACTCCAGATTCTGGCACTGCAAACCTCTTACTAAAGCGAGAAGATCTGCACCATGTTGAGTTATTGAATGGCCATACGTATGGCAGATTCCGTAGGGATCAACCAGTACTCATCGAGTGGATGTATTATACAAATCGGTCAGACGCCATACCGGAGCACCAGCGGCTTCTGATCATGGAGCTCCGAGCCGAGAGTTTCAACTTGTCTAAACCCGCCAAATTGCGGGTACTCAAATGTCTTGGTTTCGTAGAAGAAATCGGAGAAATGGGACGGCGGCCAGGATATGGATTTCTCTATCAACTCCCTGTAACAACCTCCGAAAACGCATTCGAGCCTCCCGTTACTTTACAGCAACTGCTGCTGTTAGGCTCGGACCGCGATGGAGGAGCGGAATGTCAGGCCCCGCTGCAAGGCAGATACCTGCTCGCCCATTCGCTTGCGGCGTTCTTTGAAGAGCTGTACACAGTTGGATGCTTGCATGAAACATTCAATTCGAAAAACGTTGTATTTGCCTGTAAGTCGAGAAAGATGTTTCGCGATAGTAGTGTCTGGCGGCAGCCATACATAGTCGGCTTTCAGAAGAGCCGGCCGGATGGCTCGAACTGGGCGACCGATGGGCCGGCGGACGAGTCAAGCTACCGTCAGTATGAACACCCTGATTATCGGGAAGAAGGCAGGTTTTCGCTAGAATATGACATTTACAGTCTAGGTCTAGTGCTGCTGGAAGTTGGTTGCTGGATCCCACTTCAGAAATTGGCGCAGCGAAGGGAGTATCGAACGCTGAGCCCCGAAGGGTTCCGGCAAGCGTTACTCGAGAAATATGTGCCTAGATTGAGTACAACCGTTGGTGGGGTCTATCGGAATTGTGTTCGTGCTTGCCTTGATGGATCTCTGGGCTGTAGAGGGCAGACGGGAAGCGGGAGGGAGGCCGACAATGGCATCTTTGGCTTGTTTCTCGACAAGGTCGTCAAGCCGTTGGAGAGGTTGTCCGAATATGAGATTTAATTTCTTGAAGTACGTTAACCTCATTTACTCCATCGGATAGATGAAAGTACTCCCTGATTCCTTCAATATTGCCCAGTCTCGCAGTGGATGTTATAGCCAATGAGTGATTTCATCAAATTTCAGACTGAGACGGTGAACAAAAGAAGAAACATATATTCTATGAGGGACTTTCTAGTTTCAACAAGTGACACGCCTCTTTCATACCCTGTGCCTCGGTATGCTTGCCACGGGCGGCCATAATATTTGCTAGAAAATCCATTGTGCGTATAGTTTCAGGATGAATATTTCCCAAAGCTCGCTGTCGGATCTCCATGACTTCAAGAGTAAGTTTTTCAGCCTTCTCGAGGTCTCCAAGTCTCGTATAGAAAGTTACTGTATCTTCCATATATCGCACAGTGTCTTCATGATCAGGTCCTAGTATAGATCTGTTCTTGTCGATGACTTCAAGCTTGAGTTTTTCCGCCTTCGTCCATTGGCCATTCTCTTCGCAGATCCATGCCAGCAGAGTAATGCATGCTATGGTATTGGAGTGGTCTTCGCCTTGCAACTCGCGCAACATGTCCAGTTTTTGCTCTTCAATCTCTTGCGCATCTGACCATCTCTCTTGCTCAGCTAGGACCGATGAGATGGTGTCGAACACATGGATCTGGTCAAGGCTGATCTCCTTCCATGTTGCCTTCTTTGCTTCGACAACTTGTCCTTTAAGATTTTCAAAGCCTGATACGTCTTTCAGATTACCATACGCAAAGAGGACATGGTCTGCGGCTCTGATCCATGCCGGATGGCCTGTTCCTAATGCTCTTTCTGCCATTTCGAGAACCTCAATTCCTAATTCCACAGCATCAACCCACTTTTCTGCTGCTGCATATGTGGCGATGAGACAATATTTGCTCGTCAAATATACTGGATCTCGGATACCTTGCGCTTCCTTTGCATTTATCACATTAGTGAAGAGGTTGGTGGCATTGCTCAACTTTCCCATCTCCATAAGGACGCTGCCAAGGTTGTTCTTACTTTCAAGGACCAACGGATGCTCGTCACCTTGGAGAGCCGCTCTGGTTTTGATGACCTCAATTCCCAGCTTTTCAGCTTCTTCAAATTTATGTTGGCATCGATAAATAGTAACAAGTTTAGCGAGTGCATCTACTCGAAGACTTTGATCTCGGTCGTGCAGTTGCGCTTCGTGCAGTACGATACGTTCAATCAATTTTTCGGCCTCTTCGAAACGTTCCTGGTCCATGAAAATCGCTGCGAGGTCGAGCTGGACATGCAGAGTCATGTAGTGCAGAGGGCCAAAAGTACTATCGCACCGTTGAATGGTCTTTTGCTGAATCTGCTCGGCATCTCTCAATCTACCTTGTTCTTTATAGGTCGAAGCCAGAGAGTTGGCTGCACTTATCGTAGAGGGATGATCTATCCCTCTTACTAACTCAAGCGTTTTCAAGGCATTGGAATGTAGTGTCTCTGCCTTTTCGTATAAGCCCAATCGGTGATACATATCTCCTAGATATTTGCGAGCCTCAATGGTCTCTGGGTAATCATCACCAAACTCCTCTTCTGAACCGCTTAGCGTGTTTTCGAACGCCTTTGCAGCACGTGTAAACTGACCCTTCTTTGAATACAAATTGGCGAGGGCACGTTGAGTTCTGATTGTGATGGGATTTTGTGGTCCCAGAGCGTCTGCTGCGATGCTGAGGGTTTTGTCAAGCATAATCTCAGCTTCCTCCCAACGGCCCTGCGCACTGTATACATTGGCGAGGTTATTAGTACTCGTGAGCGAAAAAGGATGGCGTTCTCCGAGGATAGAGTGGCAGGTATCTTTGACTTCGATGAAAAGAGCAGCTGCTTCTTCCCAGCGGTATTGGGCTTGATAAATGGTTCCCAGGTTGGACACTTTCGACAGAGTACTTGGGTTTTCTGACCCCAGTAGCCTCTTAAATCCAGGTATGGCTCTAGACAGTAAGTCCACGGCCTCTTCGAATCGTCCTTGTTCCTTGTAAGTCATCGCCAAGTCAGCCATGCAGTCGTACAGATCCAAGCCGTCTTCCTTCTCTTGCTCTAACAGTTCCGCTATTGCCTCATCTTGCAGGGTTTCTGCTACAGCATAACGACCTAGCTGCCTATACGTTTGCGCAAGGTTTATGATAAGAGGAACATCCATCTCATCGGTCTCATCGATCTCGAGTATCTGTTGCAAGATCTGTCTCTTGCTATTCCAATGGCCTAACTTATCGTGAAACAAAGCCATTGTGTGCGCGTGGAAAGCCCACAAACCATTGTTTCTCCCTAAAGTGTTTTCGATATCAGATAGTTCTTTGCTGAACTCCTCCACTGCCACACGAATCTCATTCACTTGTGTGTATTGTTCAGCTAGATTGATGAGCTTGACATGATAGGCATTGCGTAGTATATGCCACGTTGTCAGGTTGTCGGCTGTTCGAGGACCGTCTACGACATTGAGTTTCTTCAGAGCTCTTTCAAGGTCTTCTGACGTTTTTTGACACTGAGAAAGAAGCCGAAGTGCCTCAGCGTCATTTTTGGGAGCTCCAAATCCAATTTTGGTGCAAATGGCAAGCTGGAAGGCGAGGTTTTGCTGCTCTGAATCCATCTCGTCACGAGTCCGATCATTGATCAGGTCCTCCAAAGTACGTCGGAGATACTTTCGCACACGATAATCAGAAGCATACAGGGTTCCTAGGATTTGCGTTATCTGTACTATCGATTAGTGCTGGAAGTGATGTGGTAATAACAGGGCTTACGTCAAGGCTTGCGGAAGAGATGAATGAGGTAGGGTCGTTTATCTTAGCGGGGGAGGAAAGCTCACTGTATCTTTCTCAGCATAGTGACCCAATTATTTTGTGGGGTATCTTACCTAGGGACAAAATAGTGAAAAGATGCATGAAGGTTGTGGCTCCGCAAATCTTTCTCATATATTAGACCTGCCCGGAGAAATCTCAGCATTGCTTCCTTAGGTTCAGCCTCCAGATCATCATCTGTAGCCAAGAGCTGTTCAGCGAAATTTAGGATCATTTTGAGTCGTTTCAACTCGCTTATGGACTCCTTGCTGCAATCTAAGCTTTCTTTTGAAGCAAGCACATCTTCGGCCCATTCTAGGCTTGCTGGTAGTGGGGCCACCCGAGCAAGATACTTTTCGAAAAGGATCCAGCAGCAAAGCAGACCAAACGAGAATATGTCCATCTTTCGCGCATTTGTAATAGTGAACATGTTGAAGTGATGTTCAGGTGCGTCCCAGGGCTGTGATCTGGGCATTGAGCAGACATCATCGGGGTTCAAAAACCTGGTGGAATAACCGAAATCTGAGACCTTTGCACAGTAACCATCTTTCTCGTCTTGAAATATAAGAACATTTTCAGGTTTCAAATCTCCGTGTACAATATATATCAAGATCTCAGTAAGTTAAATGGAGGAATGTTGCTTTCGTCACTTACTGTTCGCATGCATACTGATAACGGCAGAGCCTATATCAATACAAAGATTCAGGCGCTGAGCTATCGAGAGCGCTCTCCCGACTGGCATAGCGGCGAAATCATAGAGGTTGCCAAAATGCGACTTTTGAAATACTATGACCGGCCAAACATCATGTACAGATTGGACATCCCAGCATATGCCTTGAAGTTCAACAACACCCGGGTGCATCCGAACAGAGGGATGTGACAGAACGACAATTTCGTTTAACATTGCTTTCAGAACTTTCGGCAAACCGAACTCTTTCTGCTTCTCAGAGGCACGTTTGAACGCAAAGCTAGTTTGGACAGTAGCCTGAGCCTCAGTGACCTGGCTTGTTGCGCCCCAACCAATCGGTTGTCGTGCAGCTTGCCATGTGATGGGCAGTATTTCGATGTTGAGTGCTTCCACAACTGCCAGAAATCTTATCATGTCCAAGTCATCAGGCTGTGATTCGGCGGAGGTCAGGGCACTCTCTGATAAGAATCTATGGTTGAGCAAAGTCGACTGGGTTAACATCTTACTGTGTGGCTTTCAAAGGTCGATTGAATGGAGAGTTTATCTTCTAATACAATAGACGGAAAATGTTGATGATATGCGCAGAAGGCTGAAGAGGCCAAACCCACCTGACAGTCGAAGACGCTTGGCACAGACATGCTTACTGGCATCGCTAAACATAGCCACCGCCACAACTACATTTCATACATTGAGAAGATAATGACGAACTCAGTAGCGGCGCAAGAAAGACTTCTGAGGCGCTACTGAGGCTTTTCTCTTGCACGTCCATTACTAACATGCCCTTCGTTCTTGATTTGTCCACTACACAATATGAGTGAGCCACCTTTCAAACGACAATTCCCAAAGTAATGGCACGTCAACGCAATGCGCGAAGCTCATGTGATTCATCTTCAAATACCAATATTCACATTTCGATTACATATCTACTCCTTCCTTTCTTTCTTCTTCCCTTCCTCCCCCGCTTACACCCCAACCATCCTCTCCAAAACCGTATCAACAACCGCCCAAACAGTCGAGCTATACGGCGCTCCCCACGCATACCCCGCAAACCACATTCCCTTATACCCCTGCAAGCTATTCACTTTGCTCACAAATCCACTTTGTATCTTGGCTGCATCCTGCGGCCACCACGGGCGCGAGTGATCTGAACTCGCTCGGAACGTTATTTCACAGTTCGCTGTTGCTGTGGTGTTTACCGAGTCAGCGCGGATGACGTCCTGCACGCGGTCCCGCACGAGCTGCTGGAATGCAGGCGTAGAAAGCGTGTAGTTTGCGCCGAAGACGACGCGGAAGAGATTTGTACCCACAGGGCCAGTAGCGTCGAGGCGGAGAGTGTAAGGGTAGTCTTTTAGTGACAGGTAGCTGGTTGGTACTACGGCGTGGGGCAGGAAGGAGATCGAGGTTTTGGCAGGGAGGCAGGGTGCGTGGATTATAGCTACGAATTCTGCGCTGGGGGTCCAGGGGGTGAAGAGGGTTTTTTGGCGCTTGTCGGGGTTGAAGGGGAGTAAGTTGGTGAGGGTTGGGGGTGCGGTAAAGAGGATCTTCTTGGTAGTTATCAGGTAGGAAGTACCGTTTGCGTGGATGACGGTGAGCTGGATGCTGTTTTTTGTGCGTTTGGTGGATTGTACGGTGCTGGAGAGGAGGATGTCGGACTTTAGGAGGGAGAGGGCGCGGGTGTAGAGGAGGGCGTTGTTGCTGTTTGTTGGGCGGAAGAGCTTGGATTGCAGGAAATCTAATCATGAGTTCCAGAGTTAGTGCGAGTTCTTGAATGTCTGGTGACAGTAGTTGTCTTGACTTACCTTGTGTAAGTGATGCCCCGAATGCTTGGAACACAGTCAATGTTAAGAGATCCCTCACACCCCCGTATCCCACACCTGAAATCGCAGTTATGCGCGGCACTGCCGCTTCAATTCCCTCCCTCTTTGCAAACTGCTCAAAGGGGATTAGGAAATCATCGGGGATATCGCCGGGACGTGGGAAATTCCAATATCCTGGCTCCAGGTACTGTTGGTATTTCTGGGTAATGGTGAGCCAGCGGCTTAATGCTTCATTTGTAGCATTCAAACTTGGCGCACGGTAATCCAGGAGCGTTTTTCCTGTTTCGACGTCGACGTTCAGTGAAGTCAGTCGCTCTGGAGAAAAGACTTCGGTCGTAATGTTGAAGCGGGCGAAGAACGAAGATGCAGGACCATAGGGAAGATACGACTGCACGCCGTAATCGACAGTGGTGTTTGTTTCTGGGATGAGATATGTACTTGTGTGGCCGCCTAGATTAGGTCTGGGCTCAATGACGATGACGCTTTTCCCGAGGTCTTCGCGGAGACGGACTGCGGCGTAGGTGCCTGATGCACCTCCTCCAATGATGACAACATCTTTGGTTATTTCAATTGGTCTTGATTTCTCATTTATTGCTAAACCGCTAGGGATACTGAAGAGAAGAAAAGACAGGATGCTCATTGGTTTAGACATTGTTGCAGAAAGTGACGCATGGTATCGTTGAAACTTTTGGGGATGGCATATATAAACGATGCTGAAATGGAAACACGGCAGTTGTCCAGGCACTCAAGTAGTGAAGGAAGCTTGGCGCAGCGGAGGGGGCGGAAATTGGCGTTGTGTTACTACATCTGGAATGGTATGCAGGTCGAGGCTCATTCGGGCGTTTGGTGGTCAGCCTCGGGTGGGATCATGGTCACGTCGTACTCGCTATGGGAGTCTTATTTAGCTAATGGTACTCCAAAATGTGGATTTTGGCATTGTTAGAAACACTGGTCTTAGCCATAAAAGCGGTGATTAAGTCGCTCTTCTCTAACATAGTCTGCACAGTCTTGCCTACTGAATATTCAATAGCAACTTATTGGTCGTACGCCCTATTCGCCACAGTCCTTCCATTGGATGGTTATAGAACATCACACAGCCCCAACAATATGCTGTACATGGGAATGTCTGCATGTGGACGCATCAGCACAAATTGCATGCAGAGGGCACGGTGTTTGCGCGGCACACGACAGAATAGTCTAGTATGACACGTAAAAGCCCAAGTACTAATTCGTATAGGCCGCCCAACTCAATTTTGCTCTTCCGGCTGAAGCCGTTGAGGCGGCTGTGAAAACATGGACGTAGGCGGGTGGGTGATTGGTACAGGTGGGTGGTTAGACCATGTACGCACCGCTAAGGTAGTACGTAAACCGTCCTCCTTTCAAGTCTCTCCTCTAGATCTTAGCACGTACTGCTACGATGAACAAATGCGAAGATGATACTGTGTGAGATCTACAGATGACATTTTTCAAGTAAAGCCTTTTCTTTCAATGCATAATTCGATGTAGTATTCCTAGACAGAGAAGACTGCGGCAACGCGAGCACAGAATACGATGGCCGCCTCGCCCCTCAAGTCCACGGTTTTCGGCACATGTGTACTCACCGTCCTACCCTCTGAAAATGTGATTGCCAACTTGCGCCGTCTTGCTCTCGTTTGTAAGCAACCCAGTTTGTAACATATTTTCTCTATCAGTCCATCCAGTACAACATGCAGATGTCCCGTCCTGTGTAGTCTTTTGTACCGAAACATTGGGATCGCTACTCATTGGTCGTCCTCCCCCATTCCCAGGCTACCAGGGGGACCAAATATCTTCCATCAAGAACGATATAGCCAATAAATCAAACGTGCATCACTTGAAAGTTATTGACAAGGAGGCCGATGGTGAAATCATCGCCTACGCAAAGTGGGAAATCTACGAGTATGGCCGGCCTGACCTTGAGGCTCTGAAGCAGCCGATAGACGAAGCGTTAAAGCAATTGGACCAGTATGGCCGTCTGCGAGAAGCTGCACACCAATACTTTGGCAGTCGAAACGGAGAGCTAGGGAAGCACCCCCATATACGTGAGTTGAGCTGCCACCCTTACATCGTTAAAATGCTCATATCCTAACCGCAACAGTCCTAGCTCTTCTCGCCACTTCCAGCAAACACAGACGACGAGGTGCCGCTAGCCTTCTTTTGCAATGGGGAATCGCAAAATCGGAAGAGCTGCGGCTTCCTGTGTTCTTGCAAGCATCTGCACAAGGCCAGCGACTTTGCAAGAACTATGGGTTCGAGACTATCGATGCGGTCAAGTTCACTCTTGCAGACTATGGACTTATAGGAACAGAATTCATGTCTGTAATGATTCGAAATCCACCCAAGAATGAGATTGATGAGGCTTTGATATGTGGGTAGTGCTACACCAGAGTCAACACCGATATGCAGTAGTAGTTAGGGGCCAAGATATCTAAGAGCGCTTTTATAGAACGTATACTAAGTAAGAAATTATATATTCTATCTATCTATAGTATACGTTCTATAAAAGCGCTCTTAGATATCTCAAAGCATCGACTCTGTTATAATAGAGCATACCTTTTCTCGCATCATCTATACCCAGAGCTCTCACGATCGTTAGACATAGATAGGCGCCTGTACGGTCTGATTAATTATCGTCATCATTCAGGCCCAGCCACCAAAGTTGAGCTTACAGCAGGGATCTACGCATTTCGAGTCCCTAAACACATCTCTATCCTTCTCTCATTGATCTATTCCTTCAACGCAAATTCCAAACAATTTTAGTCAAAATCATGCTTTCTAAACGTGCGATACATTCAATCACAAAAGCAGTCCGAGACAACGGAAGAGCTGCGGCGGTGGGCAAGGAACCGCGAGAGCAGCCCAGCTTTCAAGCGGATCTTGCACACTATCTTTCGGGCATGTAATTTGTTGAAAGGTCTGTTGTGTCTGAGTCCATCTTCCAATTGGACCCTGTCGTCTCCACTTCTATGGACCTCTATAGTCCTGACCCGGAATACGACTGTACATCAGGGGACATCTTTGTTTATTTTTGAATCCAATTTGGTTGCCTTTTCATGTTCAAAAACCTACGGATTCGCGCACAATGTGTGGCATTGGATGGTTGTTTCGCTGGCGAAAAGGATGAATTGTCGAGGGGCTCGCGACTAAGGTGAGGCTTGAGACCCTGAATTGAGGATGCGTGGAAGCACGGATGTACGTAGTGGCTTGTGCAGCTACACCACCTTCCGCAATCGCCCAATAACATTTCGACTGCTACAATGCACGCGTCCCGTTCAATGCGTAGCGAAGAACGATAAGCAAAGGCATAGTAAAAAAAGAAATAACAGAAGCTGGTTTTTGTCTTACCCTCTTTCCACCGCACGTACACTCACTGGCGCAACGTGTGCAACAGCATATCGCGAGGGGGCATTGATGCGGACTCCGACCGAACCATATGCCTGGCCTTTCTCCTTCTCTGGAATCTAGTACGCACGCCAGCCTGTAGTGTCCGGAATCATGGATTCGGCGCTGACGCTCAATGCAGCTGAATACGATCCCATCGACCATCTCAACGCCATCTTCTCCCACCCCGCCACGCTCGCCTCCGTCTCGGCCACGTCCGAGGCCCTTCGCAGCTACCAAGATGATCTCGACGAGGATATCGCAGCCGTCATCGCGTCACAGTCCAGCTCAGATGCAGACAGTGTGCAGCGCATACAGTCGGCAAAGGCTGAGCTGGCCGACCTCTTCAAGAGGATCGAGAGCGTCAGGGAGCGGGCCATGCAGACGGAGCAGACCATCACCGAGATGACTGCGGACATAAAGCGCTTGGATAGCACAAAGAAGAACTTGACCCTCTCCATGACGGCCTTGAAGCGGCTGCAGATGTTGACGACGGCATACGAACAACTGCGCAGTCTGAGCAAGTCGCGGCAGTATAGAGAGTGCGCCCAGCTGCTGCAGGCGGTTCTACAACTCGTGGCCCACTTCAAGAGCTATCGTTCAATAGACCAGATTGCTACCCTCAGTCGCAATGTGGCGGATGTGCAGGGCGAGTTGCTGGAGCAGGTCTGCGAAGACTTTGAGGTTACATTCGCCAAAGGGGAAACGGCCCAGCGAAAGGCCATGCTAGCAGAAGCTTGCCTCGTCATCGATGCGCTTGGCGAGCATGCGCGGACACGGCTTATAAATTGGTACTGCAATACGCAGCTTCGCGAGTACCGGCAGGTCTTCCGTGGCAATGATGAAGCTGGCTCCTTGGACAATATCGGACGGCGATACAGTTGGTTCAACCGAATGATGAAGACTTATGATGTTGAGCATGCCTCAATCTTCCCAGCCTATTGGCGCGTAAACGAGATGCTGGCCAATTCGTTTTGTGAAGGGACCCGTGAAGATTTCAAGTCTATACTGCAAAAATCTGTGCGAAGAGGTGACGGTCAAAGTCTGGACGTCACACTCCTTCTTTCATGTCTACAGGAAACACTTGATTTTGAACAAGGCCTGGAACGGCGGTTCTCCAACGAGGTTTGTCTGGCGGGTACAAAGTCGAGTCATGTATACTGATATTGCACAGTCTCGCTCTTCCGTGGACACCATGGCTTCCAAGGAAGAACGACCACATGGCTTCAGCCAAGCCATCTCTGAGGCTTTTGAGCCTTACATGAGCCTCTGGGTAGAGTCTCAAGACAAGTATGTGCCGTACGAATTGTTGAAAAACATCTTTCTAACAATTTAGACAATTAGCAGCCTTGATACCCAAGTATCGGCAACAGCCTTTGCGAAATTCAGAGGAGGAGTTCTCGCCTCAAGCAGTTATACCGTCATCGACCGAGTTGTTCAATTTCTACCGCATGACTCTGGCACAGTGTGCCAAACTCTCGACTGGAACAAGGCTTCAAGAGCTGTCTGTCACTTTTGCCAAATACCTGGACCAGTATGGGCAACAGGTACTCTACTACTTCCTCAGTGAGAAGTCGGGTGCCCAGGGACCGTCTATTGAAGATGCTGTTCTTATCCTCAACACTGCAGACTACTGCTACGCTACTTGTAACCAACTAGAAGAGAAGATAAAAGGCCGGATAGATGAGGAGTTTCGAGAAAAGGTCGATCTACAGAGCCAAGCTGATGCTTTCATGGGCATTGCCAGCGCGACGGTACGCATGCTGGTCCGAAAGGTTGAGATTGCATGTGAGCCCAGCTGGCGTGAAATGCGCAATACGCCCTGGGCAAAACTTGAGAGCGTTGGCGACCAGAGCACATATGTTGCCGAGCTGCTCCGCAATGTCAAGGAGAGATCTGGTGAGATTCTCAAATACCTTCACAAGCAACAGTATGCGCGAGCGTTCAGTGACAACCTGGTGGACTTAATGGCATCTGCATACATTGCCAACATTGTGCAATGCAAGCCAATTTCTGAAGTAGGGGCAGAGCAGATGCTGCTTGATTCATACGTCTTGAAGCAGGGGCTCACAGAGATTCCCACGCTCAACGATGAGCCAGGTATGGCGCCACCAGCAAGGTATGTTCTTCAACAGTCCTATTACTTGGCACTACAACAGACCCCTAACACATGAATCCAGCTTTATCAAACGTGTCAACCAATCAACAGCAAAGATTGACCCTCTGCTCAAGACGCTGCAAGTCCGCCCCTCACCACCCGAAGCCCTGGTACAAGCATACCTCATCCACATTGCCGACAAATCCGACACCAATTTCCGCAAAGTGCTGGAGCTCAAGGGGATCCGCAAAGCCGAGCAAACCCAACTCTTGGATCTCTTTGCTGCGTTCCGTGCATCGCCTAACCATGCAAATCTAGTGCAGAACTCGCCCTTCCTTACACCCTTGCTGGTTCAGAACAACACGGGTGTTGGCAGTGGAGCGGGAAGCGTCATGGGTACACCGAGTCTCAGTGGAGGTCGGTTCGATGCAGCAGGGCTCGGGAATATGCTTGTCAATGCTGCGAGAGACGGGGTGGATCGGTTTGGCAGCCCTGCGCCTGGGCAGCAGCAGAGTGGTAGTGGTGGGACTGATGGCGGGGCGAACCTGGAGAGCAACCTGAAGAATATTGGCAAGTTTTTCAGGAGGGATGTTGGATTTAGGGGGTTTGGACGGAGTGAAGATGCACGGTAGATGTGGCTGTTGAAGATGCAGTATGGAATGATGATGATGGTAAAATGCACATCTTGCTTGAATATCCAAGGTATCATAGTCTGCCATTGCTTGTCTTCCCTCTTTTGCAACAAAGGGACATGAGTCCCGTTCAGAAAGCCGGTATAAAGTTCAAATGCAGCCCCGGCGAGTCAACATCATCCTGATCGTCCTCGCCCTCATGATCCCTCGCGAAGACGCCTCGACTCGCAATGGTGCCTTCGCCATCACTAATCACCACCGCCTCCCTCCTCCTCCGGCGAACATCCCGCTCAGAGCTGCCTACCCCACCAACCTGCGCCCGACTCTCCATCAAGCGCCACCCGCCCCTCGGTATGCGCGGTGCAAGTGACGAGTCCCTCCACACGCCCATGTCGCACAGCAAGTTGAATGCCAACTGTGCACGATGCACCACCTCCTGGTCCTTACTATACAAGTCCTTGATCAGCAGGTCCTTTGCTGTCTTAGACGCATAGAAACGCGTGCAGAGGATCTTGGTGGCCGAAGCACGAATATCATTGTTGTGGCTTGTGGCGAGGGTCAACAACGAAGACGTCTTGATTGCGTCCTCCTGGTGTGTGGGTGAGCGCGGGCTCGAGGGTATGGTGCGGCGTTGCGAAGGTACATTCTGGGGGTTGTGGATCGCGGTTAGGGTGCGCATGTTTTGCAAGCCGTGGGAGACTTGTTGGACGGCTATGAAGGTGAAGACGCCTGGGGCATTGGGTTAGTTTGGGGGGGGGATGCGTGATGGAGGGACGAGGAGGGTGTACCTAGGCCGAGCCAGAGCCAGTGGTCGGGTATGTTGGGTGCCATTGCTATGGAGGTTTTTTCATGATTTGGGGTATATAGGGTGGAGTGTTGGAGACATAACGGCGCAGTTTTCCGGTGTAGTTCCACGCGCGCGAGCGATGATGTCGGGAGTGGTGCGGCGGGCGGACGTGGGTGTGGGGGAGACAAGTCGCGCTAAGGCGAGGACCCATGTCGAACTTTTGGCCCGCTGAAATAATTTCATGCTACCGCCCATCTCGTGTCGCCTGCGACCTCTGCCTCTTTTGCAGCGCCCACAGCCACCACCTGAACGGGGATTTGCCAGTCTCGAGATATTAACACCGGGAAAATGCCGCCTTCCCAATTGAAGCGGCTGAAAAGCTCGCTGCGCGAACAGGGCATCACCGGTCCGCAAAAGTCGAAGAAACAGAAGAAGTCGCAGTCCAAAAACGCCGAACACCACCAGCGAAGAGCCTCTGCACTCGCATCGATCCGCGAATCTTTCAATCCATTCGAGTTCAAGCACCTTGCGCGCCCACATAAGCATGAGTATGTCTCTGCGCAGGCGGAAAATGCGCCCAAAAAGGTTCTCGGCAGGCCTGGCGTCACTAAGAGCCAGGGCGAGGAGGCCCGCAGGAAGTCGCTGTTGCCGGAGATGCATCGCAAGAATAAGGTTGGAGGCATTCTCGACAGGCGGATAGGAGAAGATGACCCGACAATGAGTCTGGATGACAAAATGATGGCGCGCTTTGAGCGGGAGCAGCAGCGCAAGAGGAGCGGCAATGTGTTTGATCTCGAAGACGACGCTGACGAGGTCGAGCTTACGCACGGCGGGCAGTCGCTACGTTTTGATGACGAGATTGGTGAGGAAGACTATGACGCAGCTAGTATCGCTGGGTCAAGCGACGACGAGGATGGTTTCCTGAAAAAGAAGAGGCGAAGAGATGATGTGGATGGTGAGGCTGAAGGCGATGTCCCTGCAGAGGAGCAGCCGGAGAGGAAGAAGAGCAAGCAGGAGGTCATGAAGGAGGTCATAGCCAAGTCGAAGCAGCACAAGTACGAACGTCAGGCACAAAAGGAGGACGACGATGAACTGAGAGATGAGCTCGACAAGGATCTCAACGATGTTCTGACTGCGCTGCGAGGACACATCAACAAGAAGCCGGAACCTGAAGCACCCAAAGGTTCGCAGCTTAACGACTTTGGAATGAACGCCGATCGTGCGGCACTACTTGCTGGAACTACACAACAGGACAAGGATAGGGAGTACGATACCAGAGTGCGCCAATTGCTGCAGGATCAGCGTGCAAAGCCGACAGAGCGGACAAAGACAGAGGAGGAAAAGGCCAAGGAGGAGGCTGACCGACTGAAGGAGCTCGAGCAAAAGCGCATGAAGAGAATGCGTGGAGAAGCGATCAGCGATGACGAGGAGCCACGCAAGAATGGCGCCGATGAGCCCGAGGAGGATGAGGATGAGGATGAGGATAGCCTTCTGGACGACGCTGCCGAATTTGGGTTAAAAGTTCCGGGTCAGCTCCGACCAGAGGGTGTGGAAGACGAGGATGACTTCATCATGGACGATGATCTCGTCGCTACCGATTCCGAGGCTGACATTTCCGACGAAGAGTCTGATGCTGGCTCCGCTATCGACGACACCATGGCCATGGACGACGAAGACGCTGATTTCCTCAAGGACGTCATGCCAGAGCGCAAGGAGCAACCAAAGGCTGTCAACGGCGTGCTTACTCTGAGTACCGAGCCTTCATCGAAGCTGGCATTTACGTATGCATGCCCTCGGTCACACGAAGAGTTGTTGAAGGTCTTCAAGGGAGTTGCCCATAACGACACTTCGACTGTGATCCAAAGGATACGCGCGCTTTACCATGCCGGTCTTCATGCGGACAATAAGAACAAACTTGCTGATTTTGCTTGCGCACTCATTGACCATGTCTCGTACCTCGCGAACGAGACTCTAGCCGCTCCATTGGCAGTCATCGAGTCCATCATTCGACATGTCCATTCCATGTCGCGCTCATACCCTGTTCAGATTGCGACCAAGTTTCGACAACACTTGAAGCAATTGCAGATCTCGAATGATCCCACGCCTGGAGATCTCGCTGTCCTATCAGCGATAGGATCCATCTTTCCTACCTCTGATCACTTCCATCAAGTCGTTACGCCTGCCATAACCCTGATGGCACGCTGGATGGGTCTTACCTCGCCAGCCTCGACCAAAGACGTTGCTACTGGCGCTTTTATCGGCGCACAATGTCTCCACTACCAAAGGCTATCAAAGCGATACATTCCTGAGTTCATCCGCTACACTGGTCTCTGTCTGGCCTCAGAGCACGCTACAGCAGCGCTTCTCACGGCACACAGCAAGAACATCATTACAGCCGCCGAACTCTGGAGCACCTCAGCCTCATTCGTCGAAGTCTTCACACCCCTCCTTGGCCCCCTCAAGTCAGCCAAGCAAACCTCCACCCTGCAAAACCTACAAGCCCGTATCTCCCTCGCACGTTCTAAACGCCGTCCTCTCCTCCTCCACAACCACCGACCTCTCCCCATCAAATCCAACATTCCCAAATTCGAAGAATCCTTCGATCCCAACCGCCACTACGACCCTGACAAGGAGCGCTCAGACGCCAAGAAGTTGCAGAAGGAATACAAGCGCGAGAGGAAAGGTGCGATGCGCGAGTTGCGCAAGGATGCCAACTTCATTGCGAGAGAGAGTCTCAAGGAGAAGAAGGAGAAGGATCGGGCGTATGAGACTAAGTACAGGAGGCTTGTGGCGGAGATTCAGGGTGAGGAGGGGAGAGAGAAGAATGCGTATGAGAGGGAGAAGAAGGCGAGGAAGAGGGGTTAGGTTTGAGTTAGGCTCATATAGGGAAAAAACTATGGATGGCGTATGGAACCGTGCTCCACGTACGGAGTATTTGCCTGTATTATTTTTATTGCCAAATAAAAGGCTACATTCCTTGTTCTGTTGCTGAGTTCCGATGTCCAAATGATATCACGTGATGCCCTGTTTACATGTAGTAGTGGTCAAAGGCGGTCTCATCAAGTTCGTCTACATGAAGCAAAGTTCTAGCGAGCATAGCATACGTGTTATGCTGCCCCGCTAAAACTATATGCGTAACATGAAGGAATCAGCGGTTCCGGCGATTTCCCTCCGAGGTTTCTGTGGGGAAGGTGGAAAGACATCCATCTTCTTCCAGGCATCATGAGCTAGGCAGCGGAAAGGCCCCATAATTAGAGCAGAGATTGCCCGCTTGCAGATCTGTTCGCCCCAATGACGCGGAGTCCATGGCTATGGACTTGTTTGAGATTGCCATGCCCTGATTCTCTCGTGGTTTCTTAAAAAGAAGAGATATAGTGGGTGTGAAGAGAACATGTACTCCACCTGCGTAGACTTGGGCATGTCTTTAGTCGTTGTTTTGGAACTCTGGGCCAGAGGAAGAAGCCATGTGATTCTCAGCCGAGGCATGCATACTCAATACACCAACAGTGAAATGCACATGAAGGATCAAAATGCCATTGTGTTGGCACATATTTGTCTGGAAATTAGCAGCATGCATCCCATGTGTCTCTCTGCCCTGAAAAAAGGCACCCCCACATTCAACTGAGTCCGTGCGCTCAAGTCACAAGCAAAGTCCCCCACGGGCGGCTGCCATTCATTCCAATCCTCCGAAGAAACCTTAATTGAACCCACAAACTTACGCACTCTTTGTCCACACTAGACATGGCCCCAGTCTACCATAATAGTGCATATTGTTCCTGACAGCTTTTGCCCTGGAATGGATGCAAGTTCCCGTTGGGACTTCAAGCGCCGTCTCAACGATGCCGTGGTACCGACTTCGCACACGATGTGACGTCAGCTGGAATATCGCAACAACATGAACGCCATGCTGGGCAAAGAGCACGCTCAAGATGGGGATCACCATCCTAACGATTTCGGGCTACTTTTTGCGTCATTATCAAGTCCAATCTGCTCCATAGAGTCCAGCAGCCCTGCGCAGCTTGCCGTGGAGCAAACCTCATACTACATCCGCGGAAAAGCAGACGGCTTGGAGACACGGTAGTCGATGCTTTGAAATTTTCAGCTTGCCATGGCGCACAAGCTCTAGTACACCGTGTACTATGCAAATAAGGTTCTTTGGCAACGGTTCCACGCTGAAGTCGACATCTCTGCTTCCGAGCACGCAATACGGGCCCTATCCGCTTTTATTGGGTACTAGTGCGAGCCAGGTCCAACTATCACATCCTTCACCCACCATCCCTGCCGTCACGCCCGCACACCCTTGCGGACCTGGACCCATTTTGAAGCCGGAAATGCGGCGAAAGGCGTCACTGTTGCTTACAATCTGTGGCCACATGGTCGGCATGTTCAGCCATGCTGTCACTTGTCTCAAACTTTTACCCACGCGGATTTTGCGTAAAGATATTACTCTCCCAGCCTCATGTACTTCCGGTCCTCGGAGTGCCCTCATTGCCCTTGCATCCCGTAGACTGAGTATTTGCCGGTCGCGTAATTCGACAAGCTCCACCACTATTTACATATTTGGATAGCTTGTTTGGTGGTCAAAGCGATCACGCAATCAGCACAGCAACTAGAGTAATATCGAGACGCTGTCACAGCCTCGGTCCTACTCACACCCACCATCTTCGGACGCCATCTACGTTTGCAAGCAGCCCTTGAGAAGCTTCGCTTCAGCTGCGGCATTTAGGATCAGCACCAAATCATTACCATCCCACATTTTCGACCTCCCCCCGCCGTCTTAAAGAGACAAGCTTCCGACTAGCCTTCGACATATTCTTGTCGCACCTGTTTGAACCCTTCTTGGTCTTGTCCAACTCCCTGGTACTGGACCTCAAGCACTTGGCATTCCAAGGCTGACCCGGTACACCAATCCACGTTCAAGTTGGAGTAACGTCCAATCAACGATGGCTTCAACAGCCAACAAAGTTGGCCAAGGCCTGGCAAAGGTCTTGGGTATCGATCTCCATTACCGGAACGAGACCGGCTCGGACCGTGTCACACGAGGCGAGAGTGTGTTTACTGTCGACTCTGCCGACATCTATGTTGAGGAAGAGCCAACAGCGCGGGAATGGCTTCAGGAGGTTGTTCCCAGCGCTCGGGAATTCGGTGAATACGTGTACAGCTTATTCCCTTTTGTTCATTGGATAACTCACTACAATATGCAATGGTTAATCGGGGATCTTGTTGCTGGTATGTCAATACACAAGATCCTTACCGTCGCAATGCTTACATGTTCTAGGCATCACCGTTGGTGCAGTTGTCGTGCCTCAGGGCATGGCCTACGCAAAGCTCGCTGAGCTCCCCGTCGAGTTCGGACTGTATTCCTCCTTCATGGGCGTGCTCATCTACTGGTTCTTCGCTACCTCCAAGGACATTACCATCGGGCCTGTCGCTGTCCTTTCTACAGTGACGGGCGGTGTTGTGCTATCGGCAGAAAAGAAACTGGCTGGCCAAGATATCTCACGAGACATGATCGCATCTGCATTGGCCATTATTGCCGGCTCAATTGTCCTCTTTCTCGGTCTCATAAGGCTAGGCTGGATTGTCGACCTCATTTCTCTACCTGCAATCTCAGCCTTCATGACTGGTTCTGCCATCAGCATTGCTGCTGGACAGTTCCCGACCATGATGGGAATCAAAGGCTTCTCTACGAGGGAGGCCACATACAAAGTCATTATCAACTCTCTGAAGCATCTTGGACGCACTGATCTCAATGCAGCTTTCGGTCTTACATGTCTCTTCCTCTTGTATGCTATCCGATTCGCCTGTGGCCAGCTTGCAAAACGTTTCCCAGCAAAAGCTAGGGTGTTCTTCTTTTTGAACACGCTTCGCACTGTGTTTGTCATTCTGCTGTACATTCTGTTCAGCTATCTGGCAAACCGGTCGCACAGGGCTAACGGAACCAAGCCCATTGTTTCCACACTAGGAACGGTTCCCCGAGGTTTCCAACACGCTCGCGTACCAAAGGTTACGATTCCGATCATCAAGTCTTTTGCCACAGAACTACCATCCACAGTTATTGTGCTTCTCATTGAACACATCTCTATCGCCAAGTCTTTTGGCAGAGTGAACAACTACGTTATCAACCCTTCCCAAGAGCTGGTGGCAATAGGCGTATCCAACTGCCTAGGTCCCTTTCTTGGAGCTTATCCTGCAACCGGTTCTTTCTCCCGTACTGCTATCAAGTCCAAAGCTGGAGTCCGCACTCCTTTCGCAGGTGTAATTACCGCTGTGGTAGTGTTGCTCGCCATTTACGCACTCCCTGCCATGTTCTGGTACATCCCGAACGCATCATTAGCAGCAGTGATTATTCATGCTGTACTCGACTTGATTACGCCACCGAACACAGTGTATCAGTTCTGGAGAATCTCTCCACTTGAAGTTTTTATCTTCTTCATTGGCGTGATAGTTACCATTTTCTCCAGTATTGAAAATGGTATCTATGTCACTGTGTCTGTATCTGCTGGCATGTTCGCCTTCCGTCTATTCAAAGCCAGGGGACGCTTCATGGGACGAGCCAAGATTCACTCCGTCGTTGGAGACCATATTCTTGACCCAACGGATGACGACAAGAGATCACCCAACTCAAGACAGAAGCCACTTGAGGGAGAGCATTCCATCCGCGAAGTTTTCCTTCCTATCGACCACAGGGATGGGTCCAACCCTACCATCGAACTAGAGGACCCATACCCGGGTATTTTCATCTACCGTTTTAGCGAAGGCTTCAACTACCCTAATGCAAACCATTACCTCGATCAGCTCACTGACACCATATTCGCCAAAACCCGCCGTACCAACCAGGCAACCTACGGCACACTGGGTGATCGTCCATGGAACGACCCTGGCCCACGACGCGGCAAGGACACTGCCGTGGAGGACAACCGACCGACTCTCAAAGCCATCATCCTCGACTTCTCTTCGGTCAACAACGTCGACCTCACTGCAATCCAAAACCTAATCGACGTCCGCAACCAGCTTGACAAATACGCCGCCCCCGACACAGTCGACTGGCACTTCTGCAACATCAACAACCGCTGGACCAAGCGCTCCCTCGCCGCCGCAGGCTTCGGCTACTACACTCCCGACCTCCCCGAAAATGGCATCGCCCACCGCTGGAAACCCATCTTCAGTGTCGCAGAAATCGGCGGCTCGGACTCTGCCGCCGCACAGGCTGAAGCCCGCCAGAACCTGCTTGCTCAACGCACATTATCCCAGATCCGTACTCAAGATGTTGAAGCCGCGCACGGTGGCAGCGGCGGTAGTGACGGAGCCAGAGCAGCAGATATCTCCGATTCTGCTACCTCGGAGACTGGAAGCTTTAACAAGCAGCTTGAGGACAGCAAGGCATATGAAGTTGGTCAGGGGACAAGGCACAGAGGACGCGTAGCGGTGGTGCAGGGACTGAATAGGCCGTTATTCCATGTGGATGTTACGGCTGCGCTTAACAGTGCGTTGGCTAATGTGCAGAGGAAGAGTCATTAGTTGAGCGATTTATTCTTTTTTTCGGTTGTTTAAAACTGACTGTATGTAACGAATATCTTTCTATTTTTTCGACAAAATGTTTTTGGTAGAGCATATGAGATGAATGAATTGCATGGTTGCTCGGCTTGGGGGCCTGAAGCAAGATTCTTGTCTATTTAGGCTTTTTGTGTATCTTTTTTGCTGTGAGTGAAGACATGGTATGTATGAAGTGCTTTTGTAAGTTGCTGAGCGCATCACGATAGATATTAGTGAAATATTGAGAAGACCAAAATGCTCTATCATACACGAGTTTTCATTTCTTCCCCCATCTACATAGGTATTCTGCCCTTCACATCCCTCGTCATCCTTTCTTATCCCTACATAACCCTTGAATTCCCTTCATGCCGGAATGATCTACCTGCATGACTATTCCCAATACCCTATCTCCTGCTCGCTTGACATCTTTTTATTCAAATGACAGCAAAAAAAATAGGAACAAAAAGGAACGCCATGCTATGCTCTAAGCTCTGCTGAGCGTGTGCTATTTAGACTTCAGGTACAAGAAAGATAGTTTGTTGAAGAAGAAGAAGAAGAAGAAGAAGAAAGAGCGCTCTGCGCTTTCGTAGTGGATGGATGTGGAGGGTAGACAAGGCGGTATCCAATAGTAGAGATGTCGCTGGTGGATTTCGTGGGTGGGAGGGAAGAGGTGGGTGGTATTGTATGTATGTGCTGGGTAAGAAGTCGAAGCTCCATAGCGTGTTTTGTATGTCGTGGTGAGGAAGGCCATATGTGCTGAAAGACTACTGGTACACGTGTGGATGAGAAGAAGTGTAGGATTTCGAGTTCGCGTGGTTTGGTCTTGATACAGCAATAGTGTAGGGGTCCTCCTCTTTTTTTGGGTCCCGATCGTCATATACAGGCAGTCGTTCTTGTAATGTTTACGACGTGCCCTATTGGACGAGCTCTCTTCCACTCAACAACCTCAAGTAGAGCACCTGATCGTGTTCCTAGGCCCACAGGAGAAGCACATGTCGATGGCGTTCATGCTTTTGGGTAGACGATCCTTAGTTGTAAGCCTCCGGTGGTAGAGAATCGCGACTTTGAGCGAATAAAGCACCTGCTTGCTCGAGGTTCCACTGGCCCGCTTCCAGGCACTGAATTGCGTAGTCACGTGTGAGATTGGTTTCGCGCTGAACGTAAAGAATCATTTCTTCTTTTCTCTGCTGCTCTGGATCCATTGTTGCGGCTGCGGGTACTGGGGTGTTGGATTGGGGTATTTGCTGTGGCTGTGCATTTGCCCCTGGCGCCGCGCCGGGACGCACTTGTTTGCCGTTCAGAATCTTGAGTTTGGGAAACCACGAGATGATCTCGTCTTCCCAGTTTGACGAGGGAAATGAATCGATGATGAGATGTTCGACGTTTCTGAAACGGCCTTTCCATGGCTTGAGCGCGTCCAGCGTCGCAAAAGCGTTGTTGCTCAAGTCAAGGTTCTGAATATGGCGAAAGTGATTACAGAGTTGGTAAACAGCGTGCGTATTTTGAAGATTGTTGCCAGACATTGTAACGCTGTGGATCGCTTGCTCTTTTGCTTCCTGAGTCTCGAGGATGGCGTCGCAAACAATCATAAGGGCAGGGAAAAACTTCTTTTG